CCATTCGAGCATATTTTATTTTTTCACTTATTGCGAAACGTCGCGCGAAAACCCCATGATATATCTGCACTCTAAGTGTTATTTTTTCTGTTTATACACAATCGCGCGTTCTTGAGTGTACTTGCTTGCGTGTTACGTGAGAGAAACTCCCGTACTGTTTCGTCGATTAGACGCATTCGAAAATGCAAGAGAACGAACTTCGTGGTCGTTTACGTTAGTGACGTCTTACAGCTCGTCAGTTCTAGGCTTGAGCGCCTTGCCCTTGCGATCGTAGCCCTTGAGCTCGTCGGTGGAGTGCTTGGCGATGTATTTGATGAAGTCGTCCAGTTCGCGGCCGCCCTCGTACTTGACCGGGCTGTCCTTGGCGTCCTTGGGTACCCAGAAGAGGGTTGGGAAACCGCGTACTTCGTACGGTGCCGGCACGTCGTTTGCCGCGGCGTCAAACTTGACAATCTCTACGTCCTCGTCTGCTAGCTTATCGCCCAATTCGTCGTACACCGGTGCCAATTTCTTACAGTGGCCGCACCAGGGCGCGTAAAACTCGATCAATGTGTCCTTACCGTTATCGGTTACCACCTCGTCGAAGTTCTTGGCCACCGCGACCTTCACATTACCCGTATTGCTTTCCGGGATCGGCTCGGATTTGAGGTACGGCTCCAGAGCACCGGCCTGGAAATCCTTTAGGAACGTCTCGAACGTCTCCATGGAGAATTCGTCTTTTAGAACGAACTTCTGATTCTTGGCATCTCGCGCCAAAATGACCGGCTTGTCGCCCTTCGCGTAGTCGATTCCAAAGTCGTTCAGTTCATGCTGGAAGTCATCCTTAGAAGATATGGCGAAGGAGAGCTCGGGGAAGTCCTTGGCGACCTTGATGATCCTGTTGCGCCAGTAGTTCGTACCCTTGGCATTCTTCACGTAGTCCACATTGTAGTAGGCAACCACCAGAGGATTCTTGAAGTCTTGCGCGTTATCGCGAGTGCGTACGCCGGCAATACCGTAGCTGTAACGAAATTGGCGTTGCAGGGTCGTTCCAAGATTATCCAAAAATTGATAAAAGGACAATACTTACTAGTTTTTGGTAACGAATTCATTCACGTCGCTAATAGCATCGCTGCCTTCGTACACTACGCTGTTATCTTCAAACTTGTTGTGGAGTATCTTTGGCCGATAAAGAACAATCGTGTTCCTGAAACAAGAAGTCCATTAGTTAATGTATGTAATATTTCTCGAACAGTTACTTCCTTCGTGCGATCGCACACAGAAGAACCATTTCTATGATCTTTGCGACACATACTTGTGAGACACTTTGTCCAAAACTTCCTTTACCGACGTATGACCGAATCTGACCTTCTCTCTGAGCTTCTTGGAAACGGTATGATATGCCGCAGACAATGGAGAATCGTCCTTTTCGAAATAACCTATCACACTGACTTCGTCAGTTTCAAGGAACGTCTTGTGGGCTTCTTCGCTGGTCAACTCCTTGGACGCCGGTCCCACTTGGGACTGAAAAGACACAACCATATGTAAGAAAATTGTACAAACGGATCTCACGAACGAGATAAAAGACCGGAGATGTTACCTTCATGTACTTGACGATGCCAGACGCTTCTCTAGGACCGTTGTAGTCGGATCTGAGCTCGTTACGCTCGAAGATCTTGAGCGTCGGGTAACCGTTGACGGAGAACTTGTTGCAGGTTTCCTTTCCGGCCTCCGTACAGTCGACCTTGGCGAGCGTGATGGGCGGCTCGCTGCCTATGAGCAGCTCAGCTGCCTTTGCATATTCTGGCTTCAGGCGTTTACAATGCCCGCACCTGGTGACGAGATAAATATTCCTCTATCAATTGACTCGAACGTAACGCCAACTAATATGACACATGCATAGCAAACTAACTTATAAATCCCACCTTTGAGCAAGTGTGCAAATAACTCTGCTATATTTTACATAAGCTTTAAAAACTATAATAAAAAAAAAA